GGTTGTAGTTTGTGGTTTTTGCCTTTAAAAGTCACCTGTAAGCTGAGCTCGGGGCTGCTGCTCTCTCTCTCTCTCTGAGTGAGGCAGGGGCCCGTCTGCACAAACGATTAAATCCTCTTGCTTGTTGCATCTCCTGGTCTGAGGACTGAGTTATTGGGGTGTGGCCTCCCGTGGACGTTGGGTACCCCAGCCTGGGGGTCCTACAGTACCTTTTCTGGTTTCATTCATTCATTCATTCATTCATTCGTTCGTTCATGGTCTCAGGTAACCCATGCTGGCCTTGCACTTGTTATACAGCCAAGGAAGGCCCCGAATGTCTGTTCCTGCCTCCACCTCCCTAGTGCTGGAATTACAGGTGTGCAACATAGTACCTGGTTTGTATGTGTGTGTGTGTGTGTGTGTTTTGTGTGTGCACTTAAGTGCAAGTATATGTGCATGCCTAGAGAGGCCAGAAATCAGTATCTAGTGTCTTCCTCTATGACTTCATCATATTTTTTGAGATAATCTCTGAACCCACAGCTCACCAATTTGAGGCAGGTAAGCAAAGGAGACAGTTTAGCCTGGGACTCTGGTATTAGCTATGTACAAACTCCTCTTGTAATAAAACATTTGACAGCCTGGTCCCTTCACCTGCTTGTACTATGTGTACACACGTCTCTCCAAACAATGTACCTAGCAACCTCAGAACCCACACCCACACCCACACACCTGCACTGGACAACATGTACTCTCATCTCTGAACAATAATATGTTCCCCTGTATACACTTTTTCCCCAGTACTGTGGCACGTGCCTTTATTCCCAGCACTCCAGAGGCAGAGGCAACCAGATCTCTGTGAGTACAAGATCAGCCAGGGCTACATGGACTCTGTCTCAAATGAAATAAAAAGTTTCTATTAAATGGTTCCTAATGTATCTGGGTATGAAGAATAGTAGAATACAGCTTGTACTGATTTGGGGTGCATATGCAGTAAGGCAAAACTATGTCCTCTAATAAACTTTTAGGAAAAAACCCATATTTACTATTTTATGCCTATGCATAAGTGGGCATGCATATGATTAAAATCATTAAGAAGGGATATGCATGCACACTAGGAAAAAAAAACAAACATGACCTAATCTATCAATCAAAGTAGAGACCAACCCAAACCATACCCCCAAGTAATGAAAAATTCCTTTAGCACCCCAGGCTGTAGCCTGGAGCCCTCAAGTACCCTTATTTATGTGGCCTGTGGTTAATCTTGACAAAGTATCCCTGTATAATCTGTGCTATTCACTGAGAATAAAGTTATCTTGCTTCCTTTGCAAATCTGTGTGTGTGAGCCCTTATTTTCAGTCCTTGCTCCCATTTTTCCCATTCCCTTGTCATTTTCCGTTATTCCTTCACATGTTCAATTTCTCCCTCTTTTGTCTCCATCCCTGTCCTATGAACATGTCTAAGAGTCATTTCCTTGAGTCAACATCTCTTCTCGTCTCAAAATTAAACTCACCATTCACGTTCCAAAATCTTTTTCGCATACATATTGCTTTAACAGATGCCCCCCAAAGCGTGTCCTCTGGAGCGCTTCCGTACCCAGCGCCTGCCTTAAATAAGCTTCAATGTTTCTTATAAATAAGCGTTGGAAATGCCTGTTGTAAGTGCCTCCCCCCACCCCCCAACCCAGTCTAGAGGCAGTGTTATCGCCAGAACAGAAACCAGCACTGTTTAATCTGCTGAGCTGGGAGAACTCGCCTGAGACTCAAAACTCAGTCTACTGGGACCACCCGCTACCCTGATCCTCACAAACAAAGCAGCGCGGCAGAATGGCACGGCTACTGCCTCGCAGGGACTCCACATCAGAACTCAGCACAGCCCTCCACTGGCGCTCCCCGGCCTCGCCGAGTCAAGACCACCACCTCACAGCCGAGCTCTGTCGCCACCGCGGGCGCCCCCTTGATGATGCCATCGCCGGCCCCACGCACCTGAGTGACTATCCCCGAAGCCACCAGCTGGCCCAGCAGTATCCCAGCTGCGCTCGGCGCATACGCCGGGTCCCACGAGTTGGCGGAAGCCATGGATCCCACACACCTTCGGAATTGGCGTGAAAAGTGAGCTGCAGGCAGTGCGAACGTCGCGCGTCGTGATGATGTCACACGGCGTTCCCGCCCGGGCGGAAGCCCTGGGAGCGCGTCTCAGGCGAGCGCGGGTCCCGGGTCTTCTCTGGCGGTGCGTTCTCTCTAGCGAGCGGTAGGAGGCGAGTCTCCCGCTCCCCATCTCACCGAGGTTTCGCGGGGAGCCTGGCCTCTGCTCTGCTGCACAAGCAGCAGGACCTTGCCGTAACGCTGTCTGCTCGCCTGCTTTTTCCTTGCCCCTCTTGGGCTGGCCCCGGGAACTAGGGATCGGCAGAAGGTGACAGTTGGGTCCGGATACCCCGACGGGAGGCGTCGGCGATGGCTTCGTGCCTAGACTGGGGGTGATCAGGCTCCTTCTTTCCCGCAGGTATCTGAGCCCCGGCGCTAGGATGGGAAACAGTGCGCTCCGCGCTCATGTGGAAACCGCGCAGAAAACTGGTGTCTTTCAGCTTAAAGACCGTGGGCTGACCGAGGTGAGACTGGAAGGGACCAGACCAAGAAACTAAGGGAGAGGGACAGCGGGTGGCAAAGTTCATTGGTGCGGGGTTTTCCACGCTGTGAACTCCTTTCTCCAGTTCCCCTCAGAGTTGCAGAAGCTGACAAGCAATCTTAGGACCATCGATTTGTCCAACAACAAGATCGACAGTCTACCGCCTCTGCTAATAGGAAAGTTCACTCTGCTGAAGAGCCTCTCCCTGAACAACAACAAACTGAGTATGGCTTTTGTGCCTGGGCAGCTTTTGCTAGTGATCAGCAATTAGGGTGTTTTTCTCTTACAAACCGATTCTGTTATGAAACCAGTTCAGGGGGCTCAAGATACAGAATGGCAGAGTGCTTGAAGCTTTCTATTTCTTGCAGTTACATCTACAAGCCTCCTTGGGTATTGTAATGATTATTACTGGGTTAATTTGGACTTGGAACATCTTTGGGATATGATGTAAACAAAATTATGTTTTGGAAGTGGGGGTGGAATGGAAAGGGGAGGAGCTTCCAAATCTCACCAAATTGTCAGGTTATCGACCTCTGTTCCTTTACAAAAGGCACAAACCTATTGTATACATAAATGTTCTTCTACATTCTGGTGGCGCCTTAGCCTTCTGAACACGATGTTGGTAAAATGCAATTCCTATACATGACATGTGAGAATTCTACATGTATTAGCAAGGTGAAGCTAGGTCTGGTGGCTCAGACCCGTGATCCCAGTTACTCAAGAGCCTGAGGCAGGAGGATCATAATTTCAAGGTCAGTCTGGGCTACAGAGTGAGGTCAATGGCAGTCTGGACAATTTAATGAGACCCTATCTCAAAATTAAAAACAAAACAGTGAAGTAGGTTATCATATTTTCTTTTTATAAACTACATCAAAGATGTTTCTCAGCTCTGTAAGATTCAGATTAAAAAAATCTTTTTCTTCACCAGCTGTTCTACCTGATGAATTATGCAATCTGAAAAAACTAGAGACGCTAAACCTAAACAACAATCTCCTGAGAGAGCTGCCATCTACCTTTGGGCAACTTTCTGCCCTCAAGACCCTGAGCCTCTCTGGGAACCAACTGGGAGCACTACCACCCCAGCTTTGTAGCCTGAGGCACCTGGATGTGGTGGATCTGTCTAAAAACCAGATTCGGAGTATACCTGACACAGTGGGGGAGCTGCAGGCCATTGAACTCAACCTCAACCAGAACCAGGTCTAGAGCTTGTTGTCCCCCTCCACCCCCAAGAATATTTGGGAAATTTAAACTATAATCATGGGTTGGGTATCAGACTAAAATAGGTGAGCTAATTTCAGTGCCCAAGGTGCCATGAAGTGGGTTGGTGCTGGCTGTGTATGGTATGGAGGTGTTTTGAGGAAGGTAGAACAGTTAATAGGGTGAGATAATTTCAAAAGTTACACTATTCAAAGTTTCACAAATCTTCAGTTCCTTTTCATATATGCCCCCAACCATTTAATGAGGAGCTGTGCCAGGGATATAGTATAGAAATGGAACCTAAGGATCTGATCAAAAGCTAGTTCTGGGTTTTTTGTTGTTGAATGTGTGTCCTTTTGCTGAAGTCCTTAAGTGATAGCTTTCTGGAGAGAGCTTATTTTATTGTTGGTCAACTTTATAGCTGGTTTGTTTCTTTTGTAGCTTCTTGATTCACAGTTGTCTGGAAAAGCACTCTACTCTTGGCAGAAGGTGGTGATGAAACATCTGAGATTAGGTGGCCAGTTTTGTGGCATCTGTGTGTCTACATCTGCACAACCCTACAGTAGCTACTGTCTTCATGTGGTTATTATTGTGCTAGACTGTAGTTAGAACATGATGATGTTCAGTCTTAAGAGGAGGTTGGCTTCATCTTTTCCTTGAGATTTTGGGGGAAAACAACTTTATTAGTTAAGCACTGAATATTAGTTGAGGACATATTCCATATTCCCTACTGGTAGAACATGGTTCTCAGACTTTAGTGTGAATAACCTGGAGAATTTAACATCACCTTAGTGTCTCAGTCACTATGTTTAGGATGAGGTCTGAGAATATGCATTTTCAGTAAGCTCCCAGGTGATAGTCTGAAATGATACCAGGTAGTCAACAGAATTTAGTGGCTAGAGTGGTAGAGTGCTTGTACTCTGTTCATTCTCCAGCACTGGAAGAAGACACTTGGAGCATTTAATGGGCAAAAGAAGTGAATGGGACAAAGACATACTGTTTGGTATTGAGCAGGAAGGCCCAAATAGTGCTGTTGAGAACAGACATGCTGAATTTATCACATGAATCTCCTAAATATGTTTTAGTGAAAGTTGTAGGTGTAGCGATTAGTATGATTTGATATAGACTTTGAAGACAGATGAAGTGATGGCTTTTAGGATTACTGGTTTTTAGAAAACTTTAGAATATTAAATAGGAAGTATTAGGGATTTCTGCTTGAAAAACATCCTTGAGAGATAAAATGGGAAGGAAAAAATCAGGAATAATTCAAAAGATAAGAAAAAAAATCAGGTGTTTATGCCCAAGAAGAGGGAGTTTCAAGAAAAAGACCAGCAGTACAGTTAATGCAAACAACTGTGTGTGGGAAGCATGGATCTTTGGCTTTGGCAGTAAAGTGGTGGGTATCTGTGTTGTATAAAAGGCTGGAATATCAAAATGTTTATATGGTTATTTTGGGGCGGCAGATTACTCAAACTTTTTTTCTTTAAACATGCGTGATTCTTGAATTTTCTAAAATAATCGTATAGTGCTCTTATTATTAGGAAATTTTACTTCTAAAAAGTTACTGGTAACCTTCAAATTGTTTCAAGTGGAGGAGTAACAGAAGGTATGTAACAGAGGCTTCTGTAATGAGTAGGTAGTGAGAAAATGGAGGCGGAGAAAGAACTAGGACAGTCAAGATTTGTTTTAATGTCATAAAAAGTAACCATTATAGGGCTTATGCATTTTCCTATTACTGTTTTGTTGTTCAATAGATATCTCAGATCTCAGTGAAGATATCTAGCTGTCCTCGCCTTAAAGTTCTCCGGCTAGAAGAGAACTGTCTTGAGCTCAGCATGCTTCCACAGAGCATCCTCAGTGATGCCCAAATCTGTCTGCTTGCTGTGGAAGGCAATCTTTTTGAAATAAAGAAACTTCGAGAACTGGAAGGTTATGATAAGGTGCGTATTACGTGAGCAATTTCTGCATTTAAGTGCCTACCCCAGAGAAGAACATGCTGAGGTAACTCACATGCATGTCCCTAGCATCACCAGGTTTGGTCCTTTCACATTTTTGAGGTAGTTTTAAGAATTGGCCAAACTATATTGTGCCAAGATGACTTTCTCTACATACATCTTACTATAAATCATCTTTGATGTTTTCTACTAAAATACATGGAATGATATGCTTTAATTTTTCCTCAGAAAACTAAGTAGATTTTGTAGGAAATGAACCAAATGAAATAAAAAATGAAAAACTATGTAAAAACGTAAGTTAAAAAACCAAGAACCTGGGGCTAGAGATATGCTTAACAGCACTTGGAGAGGACTCAGGTTTGGTTCTGAGCACCCACACAGAGGGTCACAACTGTCTGTAACTACAGTTCTAGGGGACCCAACACCCTCTTCTGATCTTGGAGAGCACTTGCACACATATGGTACACATAAACTCACACAGGCACACTACACACATACACCTAAATCTTAAAAACAAAAAACAGCCAGGCGTGGTGGTGCATGCCTTTAATCCCAGTACTTGGGAGGCAGAGACAGGCAGATCTCTGAGAGTTTGAGGCCAGTCTGGTCTATATAGTGAGTTCCAGGCCAGTCAGGGATATACAGTGAGACCACCTCCAAAAAAATAAACAGACAAAAAGAATAGCAGCAACCGCAGCAGCAACAACCAAACCTAAATAACAAACAGCCTTGTATTTGCTCATACCGAAATACCTTATGTATATTTTTCTTTCATAATTTTTAGTACATGGAGAGGTTCACAGCCACCAAGAAGAAGTTTGCATGATATTCTCCACAACCATGAGAACCTTACAAGAAGGATACTGACTTGGAATCTCTATTGAAATCTGGCTGAGTCAAAATCTCCTGTTGTTGGAGATGACACTCCAGGAGATTACATTTCATTCAACAACCTTTTTTTCCTTTTTAGGGCTATCTCAGATAAGCTAAAGGAAAAGGAATTAGGAGACAGGAAGCGCCTTCCTTTTTGTGTCATGGATAGGGTGATGGACAATGTTGATCTTCAAAACCATCATTAGTTGGGCTCTAAGAAACCAGTAGGTAGTTGCTATTTATACAATGAGGGAGTGCTGCCTGGTAACAGAATAGCTCCACACCAGCTTGAGATTATGTTTAGTTTCAATGTGTGAGCTTTCATAAAGTCAGTTGCCACATCATTTCTGTGTTAACACTTCATATTTTTATGAAATTCTAATTTGTGAGAAACTTGTATGGTTAAGACCATATTCTTTTACTCCAGTCCATCAGCTGAATAGTGTCTATACTTGGATAATTTGTGAGAAACTTGTATGGTTAAGACCATATTCTTTTACTCCAGTCCACATCAGCTGAATAGCAGTGTCTATACTTGGGATTTAGGATGTACATAAGTATGTGACTATCTTAAAATGAGCTTTGTCAGAGAAGCACCAACACAACACTAAAGAATGTTCCTGAGGCTGCAATAGCAAATTCTTCACTATTGCAGGTGCCTTATTGGTAGAGGGCTCTGAAGAGCTAAAACTATATGCAACACTTGTAAGACTTTATGTTTTGTTTTTGAGACAGGATTTTGCTATGTAGCTCAGGCTGGCCTCAAATCCTGCTTCAACTTCCTAAGTACTGAGATTACAGGCATGTGCCACCACATCTAGCCTACTAATAAGATTTAAAAGGAATTTTAATAATCAAGATTTCCTGAAGCTTTGTTAAAAATCATGTCTTATTTCTGGTAATTTCTCCCCTTTTTTTGTATTGATAACTGTACTAATCAAATTACCTTCAAAAAAATTACTGCTAAAATATTTTAAAATAACCTTCATCAAGTTTATTCTCTGAATGAGAGAATACAGTAAATAAAGTATTTTTAATGAACTCTGTCTGGAAGCAGTGTTAATTGTTTAAAGGAGGAAGACAGAAATTTTAATCTTCAAATGGTCCTTTGTTCTCTGAAAGTAAACTGATGTTTCATGCTCTTGTTTCAGTTTCATGAGCAGTGAGATCACTGAACCTTTTCTGAGGTACTGGGAATCATGCTTATTAAGAGAACTTGATGGTACAAAGTTAGAGGACTTCAGATTGTCACTGGTAAGAACATTTAGGAAGCTACTATTTGGGCCATTTCCTGAAGTTTTATCTTAGTCAAGGATGACAGTTCTCAATAATGGTTAAACCTACCTTAAAGTCAGGGATCACAAAAGCCTATTTAATCGATATAAAGCAGCCTGTCTGGCCTTATATTTGGTCTAAAGTGTTCTCTTTTTTCCATGTTAGTTTCCCTAGAGGGAGATAGGCAGTGTCAGTTCATCAGTATCAATCATGGAGGTTTTAAAAACTTAGTATTGGGACTGGAGAGATGGCTCAGTGGTTATGAACACCTGGATTCGAATCCCAGCACCCACATGGCAGCTAACTACTGTCAGTAACTCCAGTTCCAGGGGATCCAACAGCCTCCTCTGACCTCTGAAGGCATTGCATGACACGGGTGCACTTATCTACATGCTGGCAATACACACATACACATAAAAATAATAAATAGCTGGGTATGGTGGCGCACGCCTGTAGTCCCAGCACTTGGGAGGCAGAGGCAGGCGGATTTCTGTGAGTTCCAGGACAGCTGGGGCTACAGGGAGACCCTGTCTCAAAAAGACCAAAAATAAATAAATAATAAAATTAAAAAAAAATTAGTATTTATTGGTATTGATCCATTGACCAATGAACTTGTCTCAATATTTTACCAGTGCTTTTCATCTAATAAATCTGAATTTAGAATTCAGTAATCTAAACATATTTATTACTATTCCCTATCCCTCTAAGAAACCACCAGGTTTCCTTCCATCTCATTTGCCTGCTCAACCATCGCAGATTACTCTGCTCTTTACAGAGTACTTTAGTGTTGTTCAGTCAAGAAATGCCCTGTCACTAACATGCTCCTTTACTATGTCTAAGCTCCTGCCCTAAGTATAAGCCAAATTAACCGCTCCCCCATCTGCTGATAGAGTATTCTGCACATTCTATATTTATCTCCCTTGCTGGACTGAATGAATTGCTTGAGGTTAATAACTATATAAAGTATTATGCCAGAAGTTACAGTGAACAAGAGTTAGACTCAAATAGATGCTAATAATAAGGCTGACTGATTCTAGCTTGCTTCCCTAAGTTTCCTAAAGTTTTAGAGCTTGGAGTCAGCTAGTATACTGAGTAATATCATGGGCTCCATCATAAGAAGGATCAAAGTTTGGATCCAGAATTTGCTTATTCTCATCTTTTAAGTATGGGGAATACCTCCATGACACAGTAAGTACTCAATGAAACAAACCATTTATCTCCTCTATAAGCCTGAAAGTTGGGGCTGGAGAGACAGCTTAAAAGTAAAGAGCACTAGCTCTTCTAGAGGACCTGAGTTTGCTCCCAGCACCCACACAGCAGCTAACAACTGTCTGTAACTCCATTTCCAGGAGATTCAACGCTATCTTCTGGCTTCTGCAGGCACTGCATGACCATAGGTCATAGCATCTATTTGAGTCTAACTCTTGTTCACTATAACTTCTGGCATAATACTTTATATAGTTTTAACCTCAAGCAATTCAGTCTAGCAAGAGAGATAAATATAGAATGTGCAGACTGAGCGGTTAATTCGGCTTATTCTTAGGGAAGGAGCTTAGACATAGCAAAGGAGCATGTCAGTGATGGCATTTCTTGACTGAACAACACTAAAGTGCTCTGTAAAGAGCAATCTGGGATGGTTGAGCAGGCAAATGAGATGGAAGATGTACTTGTATACATGCAGGCAAATGCTCATATACATAAAGTTTTAAAGGGTTGGAGTGATGGGTCAGTGGTTAAGAACACTTGCTGTACTTCCAGAGGACCCAGGTTCGATTCCCAGCACCCACATGGCAGCTAACAACTGGCCATACATAACTCCAGTTCCAGGGAATCTGACACCCTCTTTTGGCCTCTGTGGACACTGCATGCATGTGGTACACTTACATACATGCAGGCAAAACACTCATACAAAATATTTTAAAAAGTTTAAAAAAATTTAAAGGCCTGAAAGTGAACATAGTGGTTGAAGTTTTAGCTAGAGCAGTAAGACAAGTGACAGAGATAAAGGGAATACAAATTGGAAGGGAGGAAGTCAAAATATCTCCATGTGCAGATGATACTTTTTTTTTTTTTTTTGGTGTTTTTGAGACAGGGTCACCCTGTAGTTCCAGCTGGCCTGGAACTCACTGTATAGACCAGGCTGGCCTTGAACTCACAAAGATCCACCTGCCTCTGCCTCCCAAGTGCCGGGATTAAAGGTGTGCGCCACCACGCCCAGCTAAGATGATAACAGTTCTATACATAAAACCCTACAGGGAGCTGGAGAGATAGCTCAGTGGTTAAGAGCACTGACTGCTCTTGCAGAGGACCTGGGTTCAATTTCCAGCACCCACATGGTGGCTATGAACCGTCCTTAACTCCAGTTCCAGGGGAATCTGAAGCCCTCTTCTGACCTCTGCAGCATTGCATAACACAGGTGCACTCACATACATGCAGGCAATACACTCATACACATAAAATAAAAATAATAAAATATTTTTTAAAAAAACCCTAAAGACCACCAGGAAACTTCTAGAGCTCATTACATTACATTTTGCTGATTACATTCAACAAAGTAGGATACAAAATTAATGCACAAAAATCAGTAGCCTTCCTGTACACCAACAGCAAACATACTGAGAAAGAAACCAGGGAAACAATCCCATTCACAATAGCCTCAGAACCATAAAATATCTAGAAATAAATCTAACCATGGAAGTGAAAGATCTGTATAATGAAAATTAAGTCACTGAAAGAAAGAAATTGAGGATAACAGAAAATGGAAAGATCTCCCATACTTATGGATTGGTAGGATTAATATTGTGAAAATGGCCATCCTACCAAAAGCAATCTATACATTCAACACAATCCCCATTAAAATCCTAGTATACTTCTTCATAGAAATTGAGAAAATAATAAGTATATGAAAACAAAAAAAACCAGGATTGCCAAAACAATCCTGAACACAACAGAAGAGCTGAGAGTTATCACCATTCCTGATCTCAAATTATACTACAGAGGGGCTGAAGAGATGGCTCAGCGTTTAAAAGCACTGGTTGTTCTTGTAGAAGACCTGGGTTCAAATGCCAGCACTCACATGGCAGCTAACAACTGTAACTCCAGTTCCAGGGAATCCAGCAGCCTCTTCTGTCTTCCTCAGGCACTGCTTGACATGGGTGCACTTACCTACACACAGGCAATACACACATAAACATAAATATTTTTTAAAAAATTTATACTACAGAGCTATAGGAATAAAGTCAGCATGTACTGAGATAAAAACAGACACACTGATCAATGGAATAGAATTGTCCATGTAATTACAGCCACCTGATTTTTAACAAAGTGGCCAAAAATATACACTGGACCTCCTGGAACTGGAGTTACTGATGGTTGTTAGCTGCCATGTGGATACTGGGAATCAAACCCAGGTCCTCTACAAAAGCAATCAATGCTCTGAACCTCTGAGCCATCTCTCCCCAATGTTCAATATCTTTAGCCACCAGGGAAATGCAAAGATAAATGCTGGCAAGGATGTGGAGAAAGGGGAACACTTATTCACTGCTGGTGGGAGTGCAAACTGGTGCAGCCACTGTGGAAGTCAGTGTGGAGATTCCTCAAAAAGCTAGAAATAGATCTACTACACAATCCAGCCATTTTACTCTTGGACATATACCCAAAGGACTCTATATCCTACTACAGAGATAACTGTTCCTCCACATTCATTGCTGCTCTATTCACAATAGACAGGAAGTGGAAACCTAGAAGTCCATCAGCTACTGAATGGATAATTAAAGTATTGTACATTTACACAGTGTAATATTATTGAGTAGTTAAAAAAATGAAATCATGAAATTTTCAGGTAAATGGATGAAACTGGAAACAATCATCTTGAGTGAGGTTACCCAGACCCAGAAAGGCAAATGTCGTATGTTCTCTCAGGTGGATGCTAGCTTTGAATCTTTAGGTGTGTGTGTTTCAATTGGAAAATCCAGAGATCAGGAAACTAGTAAAGGGCCATGAGAGGGGAGATAGAATGCAGTAATGTAAAAGGGTTCAGAGGAATAATGGAGTAGGGAGAGTTAAATAGGATGAGGAATGGAAGGGCAGGGCAGAGGACGGAGTATAGGAAGGGAAAAATAACACTACAAGTTTTCTGAAACAGTCATAGAAACCTATCCCTATAGAAGATTCTAT